AAAAAAAAAAAAAAAAAAAGCAAATTAGAAACACACACAAAAGAAAACTCTAGTGGGCTCTCCAGCCCCAGAAAGGTCCAAGCAGAGGCTGTAGAGGGAGAGCTGGGAGGGAGAGACTCCAGAGTCTCTGCAGTGATAAAGAGGCATGGATGTGTTACTCTTGTTCTTGCTTTCTAGCTTTGCTAGTTGATGCCAGTAAATTTGCTTTTCTAGACACACGGACCTGGTCACAGCCGGAGACACTTGGAAGTCCTCCATCTTCCCGGCATGGCCATGTGATGGTGGCAGCAGGGACGAAGCTCTTTATCCATGGAGGCCTGGCAGGGGACAGGTTCTTTGATGATCTCCACTGCATTGACATAAGTAAGTAGGTGGAGGGCATGGGGGTTCCTTACAAGTTTTAAAGATGTGCGCTGAAAGAATACAGCCTTGCTCTTCTGTACAGTATGAGTAACTTGACCAGCCAGCAGAATCTTTGTTAGAGTCTGTCAATTGTGGCCTGAATAATAATAATAATAATGATAATAATGATAACAATAAAAGCAATTATTCCTGAGAGCATAGTATTTGCTTGGCCATTTATTATCTTGAACCCTTCCAGCAACACATTGTGCTTTGCATTCCCCAACTGAATTTCCTTCAGGCTTTGGCCCATTACCCATGCAGGACCTGGGTAACATTTTGGCTCTGTCTGAAGGTGGTTGACAAGAATTGCATGCTTCTCAGAATAAACGATTGAACGCTCTTGGAGGAGAGAGTTGGAACATGAGAATTGTTTCCAGTGTCTGGAGAGCCTGCCCTCACTCCTCCAGGCTGTGCACTCCATCCATGCAGGGTCTTCACCACCCCTTTTGTGAGCCAGTGTGTGGCCAGCTGTCACCCACAGCGTGAGTGACAAGTGAGTATCCGTGCAGGGGTGCATGGATGATGAAATGAACATGCTCTGCATTGATCTGTACCACAAGAACAGTGGAACAATGGACAGAAGCACTGCAGTTCTGTGCAGAGTGTTTGACTGCTTTCCCAGGTGCTGGGTGCTCTGAAGCCAGGGAACGTTGCCTGGGATTCCTGCACCAACGAGTTTGACCAGCAGGGTGATTCTCCCTAGCTCCTCTGAAATGCTGGGCCTGGCCTGCATTGGCAGATGAAAACCATCTTTACAGAAGCATTCCTCGTAGGCAGGCAGTTGGGGTTTTCAGCTTATTTTAATTGTATTCCTTTATTATTGTTGAACCCAGGAATTGCTGAGCTGCATCCTCAACCCTATGTATTTATTTAGACAAGGTTTCACTAAGTTGCCCAAGCTGGGCTCAAACTTGTGATCTTCCTGCCTCAGCCTTCCAAATAGCTGGGATTGCAGGTTTGCACACTACACCTGGAGATATTAATTTTTTTTTTTTTTTTGGTACTGGAGATCAAACTTGGGATCTTTCGCCTTAGAGGCAGACAGCAGAATCACTGAGCTAAATCCCCAGCCCTGAGATACTTATTTTTAAGAAGAGCTGGGTGAGGGCTGGGGATTTAGCTCAGTGGTTCTGCTACCTGCTTTGCAAGTGCAAGGTCCCGAGTTCAATCCCCGGTACCAAAAAAAAAAATTGCAAGTTACCTCAAATAAGTTTTGGTTTTGTTGTAGTTTCAGTGCTGGGATGGAACCCAGAGGCACTGTACCCGCTGAGGTACATCCAACCCTTTTTTTTTCCAGCCCTTTTTTATTTCAAGACAGAGTGTTGCTAAATTGGCCAGGCTGGGCTTGAACTTGTTTTGCTTTGAGACAGGGTCTTGCTATGTAGTTCAGGCTGGCCTTGAACCCACTGTGTAGCCCAGGCTCGCCTCAGACTCTCGGTGATCCTCCTGCCTCAGCCTGCTGAGTGCTAGGATTATAGACGTGTGTTACAATGTGTGGCAAATTTGGTTTGTTATTATTTTGGGGGGGTTTTGAAACAGGGTCTTGCTATACAGACCAGGCTGGCCTCAGACTCATTGCAATCCTCCTGCCTCACCCTCCCAAGTGCTGGGATTACAGGCATGCACCACCATGCCTAGCTTCCAACTAATTCTTACTCACAATAAACCTTGCTCTGTGACCTCTCAAACCTCCTAGTGAATGACTCTCAGTGCTTGTAGTAGGAAGTACTGCAAACTGTAGTGGGTAAGTTTGAAAGCATATTTTAGCATGTTATGTCAAAACTCTTTCTCTCCATAGGTGACATGAGGTGGCAGAAGCTCAGTCCCACGGGTGCTGTTCCAGCAGGCTGTGCTGCTCACTCAGCCGTGGCTGTGGGCAAACACATGTATATCTTCGGAGGGATGACTCCCACTGGAGCACTGGACACCATGTACCGGTATCACGTAGGTGAGCAGGTGTCACTCCTGGTCTTTAAACGTATCTTTTGAAGAGTGGCAGTGCCTTGGTTTTTCAATTTGTCTAAATCCAAAAGAATGAAAACTAAACTGTAGTAACTCATTAAGGCAGTAACACTGTCAGTGGGTTTTTTTCCCTTTTATTTCCTGTTTGTTGTGCTCAGCTGATTTAGTAAATCACAAAGCATTTCTGGAAATTTCTTAACCCAAGCTTTTCTGTTTCTGTTGTTTTTTCCCTAACAGAAAAACAGCATTGGACCTTACTTAAATTTGACACTTTCCTACCTCCTGGACGATTGGACCATTCCATGTGTGTCATTCCATGGCCAGTGACATCTACTGCTGAGAAAGAAGACTCAGAATCTGTCACTCAGAACTGTGATGCAAAGGGAGATTCTGTTAGCAAAGTGACCCAGAGGGGTGACTTAAATGAGGAATGTCACACTGACATGTTGCTCTGTTTTGTGTTTGGTGGGATGAATACAGAAGGGGAGATCTACGATGATTGTATTGTGACTGTAGTTGACTAATAAAAGTCACACTTGATATTTTCATGTAAGTGAAACCTTAACTGTCTCATCTCCATATTTTTTGCACAAGGTATCTGCTTTGTTCTTAGCTGCTTTGTAAGTGAAGAAATGAACAGGATAACCCAGTGCAAATCCTTCCATAAAACCTAGGTAAAGGTAACATAAAGCTGGGGGCCTGGGGCAGGAGTTCAAGCCCAACAGGGCCCCATCTCAAGAAGGGCTGGGGATATAGTTCAGTGTGAAGGCCCTGGGTTCAATCCCCAGTATGGAAGGTGTATGTTTGGGGGGTGGGGACACAGCATAAGCTGTTAACATGAGTGGACATTTACCAGTTGGTCTTGATCTGACCCTCACAGAGGTTCACAGTACACAGTAGTGAGCTTTTGACAACAGGGATATGAGGAACTCTTACTCTTCCTACCCTACTGCCCCCCAGGGCACAAAGCAGTTTTAACATTTGATGGAGTTTGGCCTGCAGACCTGTATTACATACCCTGTCTACTCCAAAATTTTCTTTCGTACTGGGGACTGAACCCAGAGCCTTTTCACTGATCTACATCCCTCACCCCTTGTGGTTTTTTTTGGTACCGGGGATCAAATTCAGGTCCTTGCGCTTATGCAGCAGGTGGCGAAACCACTGAGCTAAATCCTCGGCCCTCTCACCCCTTGTTTTGAAACAAGGCTGGACTTGAACTTTTATTTAGATCTTCTGGCGGCTCACTGTTCCAGGGTGCTGGGATTATAGGCATGCACCATCACACCTGGCTCCATCAATTCTGAAAAGAGTGCAAGCAACTATAAACTCAGCTATAAAGCATCATCCATTGGTTATAAAAAGCTAACAGTTTTAGGAAGGAGCCCTAGGAAACTTTGGTTATGTTTAAGAAAAACTCCATTCCTGGGTACTGTCAAACAGCTCTTGCCAGGTAAGGGTGCAGTGAGCCTCCCTCCCTTTTTCTTTAGCATAGAAAGGTTTCCTTACCCCTGCATCCCACATGTGCCCCCTGCTCCTCATCCAAATCAGAATCTAACCTTCCATCTTAGTTATCTTTCTAAAATAAATGACTTATCTAATTAGAAGCTTTTCACAAAAATTAGACTAGTGTAAATAACAAACATTTATTGGTGTCACTTATGGTAGAAAAAAAGTTCCTACACCAGATGTACATGACCCAGTTGTTAAATAGAACATTTCTGAGGTGAACACAAACCCTGACCCAACTTTTTTACCCATTTTTTTTAAGATGGCCAATTTGTCCTCTCCTCCCACCCCAAGACACGTGAGCAACTGCTAATGAAAAGCAGTAAACAGCCACTTGGGCTATAGCATTTTCAACTCCACTCTGAGGTGAAGATTCCAATTACATTCGAGACTTAAGTTCTCTCAATTTTCTCCTAACGAAAGTTCCTGAGTCCAGTATTTACAATATTACAGCGCTTGCAAATCAGTGTCTACAACTCATCTTTTTCTGCTGTATCCTCTTCACCAGTTGGGGGAGGGCCTGCACTTCCATAGAGTTTGCTGATAATTGGCTGAACAATTTCTTCTAATTCCTTCTTCTTTGCTTGGAAGTCTTCAATGTCAGCATCTTGGTGGCTTTCCAGCCATTCAATCTTGTCCTCTACAGCTTTTTCCATGGTCTCCTTATCTTCAGAGGAAAGTTTTCCTCCTAGCTTTTCTTTATCTCCAATCTGATTCTTTAGAGAGTAGGCATAGCTTTCCAACTCATTCCTAGTGTCGATGCGTTCCTTGAGCTTTTTGTCTTCCTCAGCAAACTTCTCAGCATCATTGACCATCCTTTCAATTTCTTCAGGTGTCAGGCGGTTTTGATCATTGGTGATTGTGATCTTATTTTTGTTGCCTGTACCCTTGTCTTCAGCTGTCACCCGAAGAATGCCATTCACATCTATTTCAAAGGTGACTTCAATCTGGGGGACCCCACGAGGAGCAGGAGGAATTCCAGTCAGGTCAAATGTACCCAGGAGGTGATTGTCTTTTGTCAGAGGCCGCTCACCTAGAAGTTAAGAAGAAAACTTTGTTGCCGACAAGAACTGAACATCTAGATCCCACCATTTCTGTTATAGTGGGACAAGGGCACTTGATCAACCTAAAGTGACTCAGTATTGGTCTGCAAGGAGCAATAATTGTGTTCGCTTAATGCAGTGGTGGTGAACCTATGTATGGCTTGTGTGCCGCAGCAGGCTGTTTGTATCACCGAAAGCTCTAAAAGGTTCACCACCACTGTCTTAACTAAGTTTATCTAATGCACTGTAAACCTTCTTCTTGTTCTTGTATTCTAGGAACCAGCTCAGAAGTTATTTTTAATGAGAACAAGTGCTAAATAACCTAGTTAAATACTGACTCTATGAAACTCAACACCAGCCAAATTAAGGACCTCTTCCATCTGAAAAACAGTAGATACTTCTTTCCATAACCCTTTAAATACTGTATATTAAACAAGAAATCATGTTCTTTTAAAGCCCACCACAGTACTGAGAAGTGTAATTACCTTCATAGACCTTGATTGTAACAGTTGGTTGATTATCAGAAGCTGTGGAAAAGATCTGAGACTTCTTGGTGGGGACCACAGTGTTTCTTGGAATCAGTTTGGTCATGACACCTCCCACAGTTTCAATGCCAAGTGTAAGAGGACATACATCCAGCAGTACCAGGTCTCCTGTGAAGGTAAATGAATCAGAGTAAGTTCCAACACAAGCCATAAGACCACCACCAAGTTTCCTCATGAAATAAGTTTGTCTTTTATTTTTCTATTTATTAAAGTTCTGACCATAAACTAGGAGAAATAAATTAACAGTTGCTAAGAATCACAAGACTAACACAGATTCTGTCTTCAATGTTTCTTTACTAGCTATGTGATCCTGTGGTTCACATGCTATTGTTTTCTAAAGCAAAAGCTTATTACTGCCTTCCAGTGAGCCTGAAGCATCATGCAAGATACTGTGAGAAGCCAGGCATGGTGGTACACACCTGTAATCCCAGCACTGGGGAAGTTGAGGCAAGAGGATCCAGGTGAGTTCAGAGCCTACCTGGGTTACATGGTGAGTTCAAGTTCAGCCTTAACTACACATTGAGACCCTGTCTCAAAAAACAACAAAAAAGATGCCATGATAGTGGCCTACCTGTATCTTGATCACCGGAGAGCACACCAGCCTGGACAGCAGCACCATACGCTACAGCCTCATCTGGGTTGATGCCACGGGATGGCTCCTTGCCATTGAAGAATTCTTTAACCAGTTGCTGAATCTTTGGAATTCGAGTGGAGCCACCAACGAGAACAATTTCATCAATATCAGACTTCTTCAAGTCAGAATCCTCCAACACTTTCTGGACAGGCTTCATGGTAGAGCGAAACAGGTCCTAGAATAAGAGACCCAGTTATTGTGATATCTGTTAGCTAGATATTGTCTGAGTCTCTATATGCATTGTCCTGAATTCAGAGAATCTAACTAAATCTCATTAGCAAGGCAAAAATCAAGGAACATACCATGTTTAGTTCTTCAAATTTGGCCCGAGTCAGGGTCTCAGAAAAGTCTTCTCCTTCATAGAAAGACTCAATTTCAATTCTTGCTTGATGTTGAGAAGACAGGGCCCGCTTGGCCTTTTCTACCTCACGTCGGAGTTTCTGCACAGCTCTGTTGTCCTTCCTCACATCTTTGCCAGTCTTCTTTTTGTACAGCTTGATGAAGTGTTCCATAACACGCTGGTCAAAGTCCTCTCCACCCAGATGGGTATCTCCATTAGTGGCCACGACTTCGAAGACACCGTTGTCGATTGTGAGAAGAGACACATCAAAGGTTCCGCCACCCAGGTCAAACACCAGGATGTTCTTCTCCCCCTCCCTCTTATCCAGGCCATAGGCAATAGCAGCTGCTGTCCTGTTAGAATGAAAAGGGGGAGGAAAACATCTTAGTCAAGTTCATATTTCTTCTACTGGGTAAATATGTTGTATCCTTGAATTTTACACTTACGGCTCATTGATGATCCTCATAACATTCAGTCCAGCAATTGTTCCAGCATCTTTGGTTGCTTGCCTTTGAGCATCATTAAAATAGGCAGGTACTGTAACAACTGCATGGGTAACCTAAAAGGATGACAGATGGTAATTATTGTACTGTCACATGCATTAACCTCTAAACAGTCAAACCAGCACTTCAGTATCTAAGCCAGTCTACTAGTAGAGTACCATATATACAATTTCATGAGACTGATGCGCTGCCTCTAGCACTAAGAAAGCACTTTTATACACAATTTTATAGCTGGGAATCACAAGCAGTAACACATGAAAATTGTCTAGCATTTTGTCTGACCTACAGTAAAACACCTAGTGATTAAACCTGAGAAACATGGATGTAGTTCAGATTCAAATTTCCAAAACCGTAAGATTCTAATGACAGGACATAAGTCAACTAAGAAGAATAATAATAACCTTTAAAAAAACACTTAACATTGTTCTAGAAATATTTACCTTCTTTCCCAAATAAGCCTCAGCAGTTTCCTTCATTTTAGTGAGAACCATGGCAGAAATTTCTTCTGGAGCAAATGTCTTGGTTTGTCCACCTCCGATATCAACTTGAATGTATGGTTTAGTTTTCTTTTCAACCACCTATTTTAAAGAACGACTTGGTATAAAACATTTCAGCCACTGAAGCAATGACATTTCAAACTCACCTCCTCCCCCATGGTCTGGCTTATTTTGGTCCCTGGGAGCTGAACATTCACTAACAGTACTTAGGAAGTATACAAATATCTTATGAAGTCAGATCTCTGCAGTTTTAATCCTACACCATGGTGGACAGAATATTTGTGTACCCACTACGCTCTTATATTTTTGTAACATAGTAGTGAAATTATCAAGTAAAATCTTTGTTGTGTCTACTGTATAACTTTTTGAGAGTCTATGTATTTTTCAGCTATTTAATCCTAAATTCCCCCCCACTTCACCCATCCTCTATAATCTGAGGAGGAAAACCCTGTCGGACCTTGAAAGGCAAGAACTTGATGTCTTGTTGCACAGAGGGG